ATTTTTTTGCTTTGTTTTATTTTTTGTTTTTTTGAATGTCCAGAGGACCAGATTGAACTTTTTTGGATTTTTCTACCTGGATTATTGAGCATGCATCAGGATATGTTTTATCTTAGTTCTTTTTACACTTATTATACAGTTTATATATAAAAATGTAGGCATAATTTTCTTAGTTTCATTTCAGCACAAAAAAAAAAAAAAAAAAAAAAAAAGAAACAGACCAGATGACCGGACTGAAAATTGTTGGATTGTATACCTGGATTATTGAGCATGGACTTTGTTGGTTGTTGCAATTTTAAGCAGCAGCTATTCTGGCACCTTTCAAAATTTTATCAGAAATGTTTTAGCTGATGTTGTTTCATTGTATGTTACAACAGCCTGCTATATCCCACGAGCACGAGACACGTTTCCTGGGTGGACTGACGTCATCGCGGCAAACAAGTGAAGCGTGCGCGCGGCCTTCAGGAGAAGGATGTGCTGCACGAGTGATGATGTGTGGGACATAATGGAGGATAGGTAGCTCGCTGAGGGAACAGCTCATCAACCTCTGACCGGTTTCCAGTCGTTGTCTCGGAGTCTCCGAACCTCTCTGAGTCGACAGCCGCTCGCTGCCGCCGTTCTGCCGCACCGAACGACGCCCTGGACCGCGACAAAATGCCGAACATCAAGATATTCAGCGGCAGCTCTCATCCGGATCTGTCTCAAAAGATAGCAGACCGCTTGGGTCTCGAACTGGGGAAGGTGGTTACTAAAAAATTTAGCAACCAAGAAACGTGGTAAGTTTTTAATTCTCCCTCCGTGATTTTATTTTTTTTCACGTGATAATAAATGCGCGAGGTAGCGAAATATAGCTACATGTAAGCTAACGGTTGTCGCGGTGAAATTCCCGCGCGGTGTTTTCAGGAACTTGTAGTCCGCAATTGGCTTATAATAACTTGTGTCAACTATTAAAAGTTTAATGTCCTCTCAATGTGATCAATAAAGCTAGCTAGCTAGCCTACCACCAAAGCGTTATTGTTTGCACAAAGATACCATATTGGACACAGAATTTCTGAGTCTGCTGTTCATCCTCCATTGATCAGACCAAATAACATGTGGACATAAGCTGTTGTTTACCCTCTCATCTGTCAGCTCCTGTCAGGGTTTGTTAGCTCCGTGGCTCAAAGTGCTGTTTGTTTTGTCACTTTTTGTCTCTGGTAGTGTGGAGATTGGAGAGAGCGTACGAGGAGAAGATGTCTACATCGTACAGAGCGGCTGTGGGGAGATCAATGACAATCTGATGGAGCTGCTGATCATGATCAACGCCTGTAAGATTGCCTCTGCTTCCAGGGTCACTGCTGTCATCCCCTGCTTTCCTTATGCCCGACAAGACAAGAAGGACAAGGTGGGGGTGAGAGACATCTGTCTACTTCTGTCATGTCATTTGCCCTCCAACATCATGACAGCCTGCAGCCATTGCCAGCCATCTGTTAAGGCTTTTTTTAAATTTGTTTGTATGTTTGTTTTGGTTCCACTCTTCTATTATCACATTCCTGAGCCACTTGGGGCTGTGCGTTTCCATGTAGCATGCACTTTATGCAGTTAACATGTTCTTTATATGATCAAAGTCTGTAACATTTGATTGAACTCAGTCGCCCAGCTCTGTTAAGTGTTATTTTTAGATAAGAGCCATGCCTGCCAGTTTATTTCTTCCATGTGGCTGAGGAGATCTGTTTTCATTGCAGAGCCGCGCTCCCATCTCTGCCAAGCTGGTGGCCAACATGTTGTCTGTGTCAGGCGCGGATCATATCATCACCATGGATTTGCATGCCTCACAGATACAGGTGAGTTAATATAGTAACAAGATAACGCAGCAATTTGAGGTGAAATGTTTATTTTTCTTGCAACTAATTTGTCTTGGATATAGTCTTATACTAGGATTTTTTTCTTCTTCAAATTTTCTGTTCTTTTTTCAATGCTTTATGTTAGATGCAGCATTTTTAGGCAGTCAAATGTAAAGTGACTTTCCAAGCCATTTGCCACAATCCTCACCACTGCCACCAAAACTTTTACACTGGTAGAATTAAAAGCAATTGAAGTTGCTGTTTGTTTTTTTTTGTAGTTTTTTTTTTTTTTTTTCCCCTAAACAAATGAACTATCATTGTTTTGACTGCGCTTCCAGGCTGCACCTACCTCCCAGGTAAAGATGTTGCCTATCCTTTTTCCATAGCTCAGTCACATACACAAACCTGGAACAGAGAAGGGATGATAAATGTAAAAAGAGAAATAACAAGCGCCACAGCTACTAACAGCCCCACAGCATGATGCTACCACCACCATGCTCGACAATTCCAAATCCATATTGTTTAAAGCATGACATTGACTACTCCAAACTAGGAATGCGCGATAAATACAGTACACGGTAGAAATTATATTTAGCCTACGATAGAGATCTGTTTTCTACTGGCTAACCACAGTAATGCTGTGTCTGATGTAAAATCAGAGTTGTCACATTTAATCGTTACTTTTTTTTGTTGAAAACTGCGCAAGTGCCGTTAAAGTCATTTCTTAGAGAGCTAAGTAGCGAAGCTACAAGCTAACTACGGCCGGCTTGCCGTAGTGTTGTCGTATTCGGACGCATGCGCAAAACGCTGTGTAAGTTTTGTAACTGAAAGGTTGTTTTTTTTTCCGTCTAAAGTTAAAGTAAGTGTTGGTCATCTTTTAGAGCAACCTGCTCTCTGACCTGTGAAAAGAACGCTGTGTTGTGTGATTTTTACTGCGAGACCCTCTGGTCAAAGCCACAGACTCATTTGTTGTCAGACGCCCACTAGAGGCTGGAGGGTGAAGAGTTTCAGTGTAAAATGCTGCTCTGTTGCCGTTTATTTCTTAAGTGAGAAAACTGGAAACTGTAGTTAACAACATAATTATTTTGTTTAAAACATATGGCTAAAACTACATTTGATATTGTTTGCACTGTTTTGCACTACAAGAAAGAAGCCTAGTACTTGATTTGTTTATTATTTAAAATCTCTCTGGACCTAGTAGTGGAATTTTCTTAATTCAAAATAAATGATGGCAAAAAGACACCCTATGCTTTTTAAAAATTCCTATTGCAAGTTTTATACCAAAAACATTGCGATATATATCGTTATCGCCACCCTTCACAATACATATCATGATATGAATTTTATGCCATATCACACATTCCTACTCCAAACCTACTTTCTGTCACTGACCCAAAGGGCATTTGGCTTGTTCATAGCTGCACATTTCAGTCAATCTTGAAGGCGTCACTCTTTTGGACGAGGAGTTTCTCTCTTGTTTGGCACCTTTTCCATCCATGGTAAAACTCGCTTCACTGTGGACTGCTTGGCAAAGAGCCGGGACGAAGTGTTGACTCTTAAATGGAGAGCAAAGCATTTTCCAGTGGAAAGTGGTGTCACCTTAACGTGATCTAAGTTTAAGGTGTCATTTAACAGGTGACAACATAAATGTGCAGTTGAGGCAAAAAAAATAATAACCATCAGAACTTGCTTATTGTTTACAGAGCCTGTTTAGCCGGTTTAGCTGCTGGATCTCAGCAGGGCATTTGGCTGATGTGCTGCTTGTTATTCGTGCCAACCAGCCCATTCGGCTAGCCGCTTTCTTACCCGTGCTGCAAATGGCATGCACGCATTGTCAGTTGTGTTACAGCAGTTTCCTGTTCGTGGCAGGCTTGAGTTGTTCCTGATCGTCTTAATTAAGTTCCCTTCATCTGATGGCAACACTTTTTAAGTCTTCCTGAATTCGGCAAAATAATAACATTTATGAACTTTGTATTTTCATACAGTTATTTGAACCCATACACTTTATACCTGAAGTTTTAAATGGCTTTAAAAGACTTTTCCCAACTTGTGTATATTTACATTTTGTTACCATAATTCTTATTAGATCAAAGAGGATCTTGGGTTTGGATGAAACTAGGGCTGGACGATATGGCCAAAACTTTTATCGTGATATATTTCTTAATTTCAATCGATAGCGATATAATTCGATGTTGATGTAAACAATATAAAAGCCTAAAAAAAAACTGTACAAACTGTACAAATAAATTAATGTTCACCTTTTTATTTTTATTTAGCCTTCCAAAAAAATTTTGAAATCACCATCAAATAAACATAAAACTCTCAACTTTGTCAATATTAATAGTTGTAATTTTA